CACCACCACCACCACCACCACCACCACCACCACCACCACCACCACCACCTTCTCATTATCCTCCTTTTCCTCCCATCCGCCTCCTCTTCCTCTTCCGTCAACTGACTCCGACACCTATTGTTACAACCCCTATTCCAAAGAAATTTTCCAATGCCCCATCTATGCCGGTGTACCTTTGCTCCTGTGTACCTGTGCATAAGTTTAGGTGCACCCGAAAGCTGGCTAGCAATTGCCACCACATTTTCTCACGAGACTGATTAAGTCCGCTGCTGCCGCTCGCCCCCTACTGACTAACTGCAAGTACGAACGTGCACTCCTGTTTCTGCACTGAGCCAGGAAGACGAGGTTCCACACCATCACCACCACCGCTCCCCGTCCCAACCGCCACACGACCCTTTGACTTTCATTACCTTCCTTCTTCTGTTTCAGGCAAGATTAAGTACAATGAAGACGTGTACAATGCCTGCATGGACGCATTTGACTGCTTGCCGTTGGCAGCCCTCATGAACCAACAGTTCCTCTGCGTTCACGGTGGTCTTTCTCCCGAAATCCATTCGCTGGATGACATCAGAAGGGTATGACGCGTCTGTTTGCTTGTTTTCTTTCCTGCTCTACTGGACTTAAATGCACTGCCCTTGCGTGAGATGAGTTAGTTGACATCGACATACTGTGATTCCTCTGTGTTCTCTTCTGTGCCCGCTTCACTGTGTGAGTTGGTTGCGTGACGACCTTGATCACCTGGCTGCATACCTGTGTAACGCTGTGTATGTGTGTGTTTGTGTGCTCTTTGCTCAAGAGTCTTATACAAGAACACACGACCACACCCTCTAGGTGCATAGTAGTGGTCATCGTATAGCCTCAACCGTACTTTCCGAATACCGTTTCAACTTTGCTCCGAAAGGAGTCAATCATCTATGATTCCTCCTATTTCTTAAGGCTGTTTTCTCTCCCCCCCCCTCCCTCGAAGGTGTGGGTGGGAGTTCAACTGGAAGTCTAACCTTCTGATTGCCCGTTAGGGTTTAGAGGTGGTTCCATGCATGCTAGACTGCCTTGCCTGTGCAGATTAGTAGGATGCTCTATCGACATCAGCTGCACTAATTCAGTTAATTGGCGCAAGGCAAACATCGTAGGGTTAGATGCCTTAAGCCCTAAAACCTTGTTGCCAAGTATTGTGGTCGTCGGAGCATGTGGACTTACGTGCTCTTTCCCCACTCTTTCATGCGTATATTCCAGTTGAGTTTTGTGAACTGCAGTTGGAAGGGGGTGAGGCGGGCAACAAGGATGTTTTCACACTTGCAGTTCCAATATCGTTGTGCATACTTTGCACAGATGGGAACTAAAGGCCTTGCTCTATGCGTTTTGTCAAGTCTGCATATCATGATGCCGACTTTTGAACAAATGCTTTTTCAGGCCCCTGAAGAACGTTACTCAATTGAAATTACTACTTTATGTAATGTACATTTTTATGGGTTGTCCACTCCCTCCCAATATATTTTATAGAAAACGTAAGGAAAAAAATATTCCTTTTTGTATTTATCTGATAGTAAAGCAGGCCTTCTTGAAAGTTTTTTACTCAAAGGAAGCGTGTACTAAGTTTTTTGAAGGGTTTTCTTATTCCGAAATAGTTCTGAGCCCGAACTACCATTATTCCTCTTAGTCATTGAGAAGATAACACGTAGTGGTCTTACAATTTTGTAATGAATGTGGACGATACTGTATGAGGTGCATTGACGAACGACAAGCTACGATGCTGTTTAAATGGACGGTCTGGACATTTTCGCTATTAGAGACCCTAAAAATAATTAAATTATCCTCTTTCATCGAGTTTAAAATTGAAGAAGACGCGAGTACAAGAAAGGTGAAAAGACGTTCAATAGCACTAGCACCTTGGTGTGCTTGAAGTATCCTTAGAATAAGCCCCAAGATAGTAAATGTTACAATTCCACTTGAGTAATCATTTGATAGAAATGATTCTTTGGGAAACGTGAACGAACCGTATTGTAAATTTTCGACGCTGGCACACCAGGTCGTCCTCGGACGT